CCAGCCCACTCCCAACAACAACCAGCTCCAACTGACTCTGGTCTTGGGAGGCAAGGCTTCCCAACCACGGAAGACTACTTTAAATGAAAAAAAGAAATTGAATAATAAAATCAGGAGTCAAAATTCATCGTCTTCAAGCCCCTCTTTCTAGCCTTTTCTACTACTTTCTGCTTGGTCAAGGTTTGTAGCCCTACCACAGAACAGGGCTAAATTAGCCACCGCCACTGAAAACTCAGCTGAATTTTTTTATACCACTCTGATGTCAGCGTTTTTCCATCTGTTTGGGGCTTTTTCCTGTCTTTTTCCCATTTTCCCCAAGTATTTTATCTGGCTTCAAAATTAAGAGGATTATTTTTCAGATTGTTTTTATTCAGTGTGGCCAATTCCTCATCTTGATTCAGGCCGTCCAGTCAGGCCCTTCCCAATTTAGGAGTTGGAGCCTTCATTTATGAAGAGATTCTCATCTATGAAATGGATCCTCATTTGTAAATCTTTGTTCTTCCATTTTCACAAGGCTGTAAAGAAATAATTCATCTCAACCTTACCCTTTTCTCTGGAGTCAGTGGGGTCTTCCCTCACTCCATCTTACACAAACCTGAGCTGGAAGCTCAACTGGTTTTGTTCCCTGTTTGAAATATTGTGATCTCCCTCCCTTGAAAGAAAAAGGAAGAACCAGAGGAGTAGACTGACTGAAGATACAACTCCTGGCTTTCTGAAGCTATGGACTTGGATTGGATTGCTGGGGGTTTGTAGAGAAAGGTGACACATTTCAGTACCTCTGGCATGCTGTCCCAGGAAACTAGGGCTCCCACTAACTTATGAGGTTTTTAAACACATTGAAAATGACATGACATTAAAATAAATTTGGATTTGCTCATAATGTGCTTTGTATGCTGCTTTGATAGAGGTGGGGAGAATGTCAGTTGTAGTACGGGAACTGTTTTTCCACAGTGCCATGATCTACCTTCCTAAAATGAGGAATGTCTTGACTTGCAGAAGACACAAATCCTAGAATCTTTGATGATATAGTAAATTATCTGCTGGAGTTGGGTGATGTAATTTTCTAAGTAGAAACGGTCCTCACTGCTAAGATTTGGGGTTCGGACACTTAATGCATACTCCAAGAACAGCGCTACAAGTGTTTATCTTGATTCAGGAAGCCAGGAAGAATGTCTGGTACGCTAGTTTTCAGAGCCAGACTGAGATCAGATGTGTAATTAGTTTATCTTGTTACATATCAGGCATTGCTAAACTGGAGATACTACAAGTGAACAGAACTGAACACAGGACAAATGTGTAATGATGAATATCCACCATTAAAATACACAGAGCAGTTTCAGAGCCCTAAAAATCCTCTGTGTTTTCCCTGTTCATCCCTCTCTCCTTGATTACACATTTATCTGAAGGCAAAGAATGTACAACACCAAGAGTGAACCCTACTGTAAACTAAACTATGGATCTGGAGTGATAATGGTATGTCAATATAGGTTCAGTTGTTAAATGTACCACTCCGGCAAGGTGGAGGGATGTTTATAAAGAGGGAGGCTAGGCCAGGCACGGCGGCTCATGCCTGTAATCCCAGCACTTTGGGATGCTGAGAGGACAGATCACAAGGTCAAGAGTTCCAGGCCAGCCTGGCCAATGTGGTGAAACCCCGTCTCTATTAAAAATACAGAAAAAATTAGCCAGGTGTGGTGGTATATGCCTGTAATCCCAGCTACTCAAGAGGCTGAGAGGCAGCAGAATTGCTTGAACCCGGGAGGCAGAAGTTACAGTTAGCCGAAATCGCACCACTGCACTCCAGCCTGGGTAACAGAGCAAGACTCTGTCTCAAAAATAAATAAAGGGGAGGCTATACGTGTGGGTAATATCTATACCTTCCTCACTTTTGCTGTGAATCTAAAACTGTTCTAAAAATTTAAGTCTATTAAAAAAAAAGGCCGGGCATGGTGGCTCACACCTGTAATCCCAGCACTTTGGGAGGCCAAGGTGGGCAGATCACCTGAGGTCAGGAGTTCAAGACCAGACTGGCCAACATGGTGAAACCTGTCTCTACTAAAAATACAAAAAATTAGCTGGGTGTGGTGGCACACACCTGTAGTCCCAACAACTCGGGAGGCTGAGACAGGAGAATCACTTGATTTCCTTGGAGGTGAAGGTTGCAGTAAGCTGAGGTCACACCACTGCACTCCAGCCTGGGTGACATGAGCGAGATTCTGTCTCGAAAACAAAATTTCCCTCAAAGAGCTTAGACTAGTTGGCAATCATCAATTGGAATCCTTGTGGAATTGATACAAAATAATTCTGCTAGGATTTTTGTTTCAAAAAATTTGTCATATATAAGGCAGGGTACAGTGGCTCATGCCTGTAATCCCAGGACTTCAGGAGGCTGAGGTGGGCAGATCACAAGGTAAGGAGTTTGAGACCAGCCTCACCAACATAGCAAAGCCGCATCTCTACTCTCTACCAAAAATACAAAAATGAGCCGGGTGTAGTGGGTTGTGCCTGTAATCCCAGCTACTCAGGAGGCTGAGGCAGGAGAGTGGCTTGAACCTGAGAGACTAAGGTTGCAGTGAGCCCAGATCCTGCCATTGTAATCCAGCCTGGGCAACAGAGTGAGGCTCCATCTCAAAAAAAAAAAAGTGTCATCATATATAGTTGGGTGGTGATAATACTAGAACTACTTAAAAGAACCCTAATTTTAAAAGTTTTTCAGGAATTGAAAATGAAATGCTATTCTAGAAATATAATAAAGGAAAACCACAAAAAAAGGAGGGATTGTAACAATCACATACAAAATGTTACAGTATGTTAACCTATAAAAAGTAGTATGTATAGGGAAAGCGTTCTTTTTCTTTGCTTTTCTTTTTTTCTTTTTGTTTTGAGATGGAGTCTCTTGTTGCCCAGGCTGGAAGTGCAATGGCATGATCTGGGCTCACCACAACCTCCACAATCCGGGTTCAAGCGATTCTCCTGCCTCAGTCTCCCAAGTAGCTGGGATCACAGCCATGTGGCATCACGCCCAGCTACTTTTGTATTTTTAGTAGAGACACGGTTTCACCATGTTGCCCAGGCTGGTCTCGAAGTCCTGACCTCAGATGATTCGCCCGCCTCAGCCTCCCAAAGTGCTGGGATTACAAGCATAAGCCACTGCGCCCGGTCAGGAAAGGGTTCATTAACTGAAAAGTTTCCTGTAGCCAAATCTTACGGGATCTGGTTGTTTTCCAGTGCTTCTCACCCGAGTATACAATAAGACTGGGAAGTTCTTTATCTTAACACCAAATGTCAAACTTCTAGATTTAGCTAATTTTCTCCCTATGTCCGATGGTTCACTCTTCGCCCCTAGGGAATCACTGCATAGGTCACTGCAGCCTCGACTTGCTGGGCTTGAGATTCCCCTACCTCAGCCTCCCAAAGTGCTGGGATTACAGGCATGAGCCACCGTGCCCGGCCGCTTACGTATTTTCTTAACATAGCCATGCATTGTACCCAGGATTCTCTAGTGATATTTTGCTTCAGGCATTGTAGGGAAAGGCCATAATCAGCTATTTTATTCTTGAAGTTTAGGAAAAAGAATTGCTCTATCTTAAACAGTGGGAATATTTTTTGCAGTATGGCAGCTTTCCCGACTCTCCACTTTATATCTTGCTACTTGCTGAACTCTCGGTACCATCGATAATTCCGGAATCGAAGCACCTTGCAGCAATTTATTTTAGAAAATAACGTAAACCGGCTGGGCGCGGTGGCTCATCCCTGTAATCCCAGCACTTTGGGAAGCCCAGGCGGAAGGATGGCTTGAGCTCAGGAGTTCGAGACCAGCCTGGGCAACAGGCGAAACCTCGTCTCTACTAAAAACACAAAAATCGGCCAAGTAGCGTTCGCCTGTAGTCCCAGCTGCTCAGGAGGCTGAGGCGGGAGAATCGCTTGAACCCGGGAGGCGGAAGTAGCAGTGAGCCGATATCGCGCCACTGCACTCCAGCCTAGGTGACACAGTGAGATCCTGCCTCAATAAATAAATAAATAAATAAATAAATAAATAATAAAGAAGACAAACCAGTAAAACAAGAATTTCTGTACAGTCCGCGCCTTTCCACAGCAAAATGGAGGACTTCTCCAAGGAACTGCAATTCCCAAGAAACAATGCGAGGGAAGGTGGCGGTCACTATTTTTTCCCCGTCTGCACCTCTCGGTCCAATATTGGAAATAGGTGCTGACGTTTAAATAACACAGTGCCCTCATACTAAATCTGGGGTGGTGGGGAACTGGTAACTCCAAAACCAAATTCTCTGTCTTTCGAAGAACACCTAACTCCATCAGTCCTTCGCTAAGAGGGGCCGAAAACCATTGTTACGCCTATTGGGTAGCCCCGCCCTGTCGGGGGGAAAAGGGCGGGGAAACGGAAGTGACGACACCCGGCGCGCTATTAAATAGCTGTAGACGGAAGTTCGGCTTTCTCTCGGCCTTAGCGCCATTTTTTTTGGTGAGTGTTGTCTGTTTCTCTGTTTGGATTCCACGTACAATCCATTGACATCTGACCTCTGCACTTACCATCATCACAGCAAACTAACTGTAGCTTTTCTCTTTTTCTCCGTAGAAACCTCTGCGCCATGAGAGCCAAGGTGAGCGGTTCCTGGTAGTAAGCTTGGAAAGTAGGAGTTGGCGAGTAGTAGTGGGAGACTAAGGCAAGGCAAGTCCGCCATAGCTCCTGAACTACTGGGTTTCAGGGGTGCCCAAGAGTTGATGGGAGAGGAAAGTTAGTGAGAGAAGCTGACAGGCTAGCGGCTAAGTGCTATGGGTAAAGAGTGGGAGTAGAAAAAGGTAGAATTCGGATTTTATGTTAGGAGGGTTTCCAAGTTACTGATATAGTTGCTATGACCAATGCTTCATAATTCTTGGTTAAGAATCTGTCGGGTTCTAAAGAGTGCATTTCATATCCCTCCTAAGCCCACTAATAAGATTCATCTATTTTTCTTTTTAAAATTCTCTGCTGTTTGTGATCGGTTGCTAGTGGAGGAAGAAACGAATGCGCAGGTATGTTGAGACTTGGTCAGTCCAGGAGGAGGGAAGGGGGAGTGTTCCTTGGACAAAACGAGAAATATTTGGTTTGGAAATCTTAAAACAGCTTTAGGAGAAAGACGTTTGAGTATTTTCTTCCTAGGGCCAAGGATTGAACAAAACAGAACGATAGAATCATAGTGCTTGTTCATTTTACCACCTCATGCATTCTATGCACGTTTGATTTAATGTGGGAGGGGAAGACAACTCTGGTTTAAGAATAGGAAGCGTATTCCATTCCTGTGTCTGCTTTTCAGGCTGAAGCGCAAAAGAAGAAAGATGAGGCAGAGGTCCAAGTAAACCGCTAGCTTGTTGCACCGTGGAGGCCACAGGAGCAGAAACATGGAATGCCAGACGCTGGGGATGCTGGTACAAGTTGTGGGACTGCATGCTACTGTCTAGAGCTTGTCTCAATGGATCTAGAACTTCATCGCCATCTGATCGCCGATCACCTGAGACCCACCTTGCTCATAACCAAAACTGCCCATGTTGGTCCTTTGCCCTGGACCCGTGACATTCTGGACTATTTCTGTGTTTACTTGTGGCCGAGTGTAACAACCATAAAATAAATCACCTCTTCCGCTGTCTTAGCTGAAGAATTAAATCGTTTCGTCTATTATGCGTTTTTTATGGTTCCATCGGGTGGGGGTTTTCTATCAGTACAGTTTGCCCTGTCCCTACCTGTGCTATGGAGGATATAAAGGCAACAGCCCGGGTTATGTGGTGTGGTTTGCACCTGGCTGGAGTTGGGTAGGGTATGGTATGCCCCTGGAGGCAGGTTTTAGGTTGCGTGGGTTATTAGGCGCTGTTGGCGGTACCGCCCCTACTTCCCAGTAGGACTGCCATACGAATTACCGCTTTCTAGACTTGTCGTGCTTTTGGGTTGGGTTGCCATGGTGACACGCAAAGCGTGCTGGGAACTTCCTGCGATATGTCGCTTGCCGGCTTCGTACACCATAGAGTATGGTTCCGGGTCTGGTGGCTAGAGCGTCACTTCTTCCGCAGGAAGCGGAAGAGTGTTCGGGTGGGCGGCTCTTTGTCGAAGCTAGAGGACCGGCAGGCGGCAGCAGCAACTACGGCGGCGGCGGCAGGTGAGGGAGGCGGGAGACTTAGGTGGAGGCCGCGCCCGGAGGGGAGGAGTCGGGCCAGCCCCGCTGCTGGGCTCGGCCGGGCCGCACAAGGCCCCCCAGAATCGAGCAGGCTCGTCCTCACACCCCAGGGCAGTGCCCCTTTTCTGACTGACCCCGCATCGCGAGCAAACGCCAGCTTCGTGACGTCACAGCCCTGCCCATCCCCTCAGCTTGATGACACCTGGAGCCCCATCTCACCGCTTCACTTCGAGCGCCCTTAGTGTCCCATTCACGTAGTCCACGGCTGAGCGCCGGCGGCACTGCACAGAAACTGCCAAGCTAGAAGACTTGCTGCGGAAAAACTCCTAGGACTTTTTTCGCAAAGTCTAGGGTGTTGGGAAGCGTCACAATCACTGCCCCCAAGTCTAATCGGCCATTCCACTGCACTGTCAGGCGCTGCCCTTTTAAGGTTCCTCACTTGGCATTACTAACTCCAACCTTTGGCCGCGCTCTGACCCTCACATCCTCTTTCATCTTGAGGCAGGGCGCCCCACACCCTTTGTTCACTCAGGGCTGGTTTTCCAACCCATCTTCCCAGCCCTTTCGAATTAGTTTTATCTTTTACTCTGCTTACTGGCCACTTCTCCCTTGGACAAGTGAAGAAGTTCAGTTTGAACCCTGAGGAAATCCTAACGTTTCCAAAGCTTTGCCGTTTTGTCAGGTTTCCTTCTTGTAACAACCACCCCATAGAGTGGAGGACAACCACCTCCACTCTTACTCCTTTTCCCACCCAAGTCTCTGTTTTTTTCCTGCCCAGAACCCAGCAGTGATGTGGAGGTGGAGACCCACAGGAGCCCCGGACTTCACCTGAGCTACCTCAGGTATCAATTCTGGGACAGTTGGGTGGGGAGGAGCTTCATATCTAATTATCTGCTGCTGATGCGACTTGCAACGTGAGCCAGGCTTGGATAGATGCCATTTGTACTTCACCTGGTCATCCCTTTTTGCTAAAAGTTTGTATCTTCTTTTATCACTTCTTTCCTTGATTGCTTCTATTATTCTGGGACTACCTCCCTTTAGAAGAAGATGACCCTTTTATAGATTCTCATGTAACTGTGGCCTCTGGTTTGGTTAGTTCATTTTAGGGAGAGCTGAAGGCAAAGTCACAGCAGTGGGGTGGGGGTAGGTCAAGGCCAAAGTAATCAGGAAAGATTCTCTTATGATCAAAGGGAACAATATGAAGTTTTCCTATTTCAGCAGCAGGGGGAGCCTGAATACCATATAGGAAAGGCTTGGGAGATCAGACACGTGGTAGCAGGGACTCCAGGTCTTACTAGGAGTGGAGAGCGGGGAGGGCTAGAATCAGGGCAGTGGACTGACATTCCAAAGCTCTCTTGGGAAATAGGAGACTTAAAAAGCTTTTATAGAGTCTATAAATAAAGAGGATCTTTATGGGGTGAGGAATGGTGTGGTTGGATGTCAGTGGGATCTTCACATAGGGGAGTAGGAAGGGGGTGGGGCGTGGGGAAAGGTCACTTGTTCCTGTGAAATTAACTCCTTCCCACCTTGACCTTATCACAAATGGTTTGTCCTGGGAGGTCTAGAAGTGGAGATTATAACTTAGAACTCCTACCCTGAAATGGAGGGGGCTGACCTCTCTGGGGTTGATAGTGGTGATGCCTGGGAGGGAATATATATGACAGGTTTTGAGACTGCCCTCAAGGTGGTGACACCGGTCTCTTCACTCAGGATTTTGTGGCTTCTAGAGATTTGATATGTACAGAGCCCTTACCTGAAGAAAAGGAAAAGGGGTTAAGAAAGTTTTGTTACCAGTGGCCCATCTTCTGCAACCCTAGTAGCTCAGCAGCCCATCCTGGGCACTATTCCCAGTTCCCAGACTATTCAGATACCAACCACAGTTTTAATTTCACTTCTACAACTTTAATAAGGTCAGCTCAGATGGAAAGATAAAATCCAACACTATTTTTTCTCTGCTCTCTTTGGCCTATCATCATTAGTGAAATGAGGTGGCTTCACCCCAACTCCTTCCCTCCTCCGTTAGCCAGGCAAGTGTGAATCATTCTGACCCAGACCAGGTGCACAAAAGCCTGGGCGGGACTTTTGATGAGTCAGACATTTCAGCCAGAATTCTTAGCCCTTAGATTCTCCATCTCTGAAGCCATTGCCCCTCTGGGCTGCCTGCTCTATAGTCAGGAAGAGTGGGATCTCCCTGGAGGACTCTTGTTGATACCGTTTTCCTCTTTTTTAGTGGTCACCAAGAGTGGCAAGATAAAGAAAACCCTGAGTTGGGCGGGACCAGGATGCCTGATCGGGACAGCTATGCCAACGGCACCGGTAGCAGCAGTGGAGGCCCTGGAGGTGGTGGCAGCGAGGAGGCCAGTGGGGCAGGAGCAGGCAGTGGCGTGGCCAGCTCAGATGCCATCTGTAGAGACTTCTTGAGGAATGTGTGCAAGCGAGGCAAGCGTTGCCGATATCGCCACCCAGACATGAGCGAGGTGTCCAACTTGGGGGTGAGCAAAAACGAGTTCATCTTCTGCCATGACTTCCAGAATAAGGAGTGTAGCCGCCCAAACTGCCGTTTCATCCATGGCTCCAAGGAGGATGAGGACGGCTACAAGAAGACAGGAGAGCTTCCCCCACGGCTGAGACAGAAAGTAGCAGCTGGCCTTGGCCTTTCTCCGGCTGACTTACCAAATGGCAAGGAGGAGGTCCCTATCTGCCGTGACTTTCTCAAGGGGGACTGTCAGAGAGGAGCTAAGTGCAAGTTCCGTCACCTGCAACGGGATTTTGAGTTTGATGCTCGGGGTGGCGGAGGCACTGGTGGGGGATCAACAGGCTCAGTCCCCCCAGGACGACGTCATGATCTCTATGATATCTATGACCTTCCTGACAGGGGCTTTGAGGACCATGAGCCAGGCCCAAAACGCCGGCGAGGTGGATGCTGCCCCCCTGATGGTCCTCATTTTGAGTCATATGAATATAGCTTGGCTCCACCGCGAGGGGTAGAGTGCAGACTGCTAGAGGAGGAGAATGCCATGCTCAGGAAGCGGGTAGAGGAACTAAAGAAGCAGGTCAGTAACCTGCTGGCCACCAATGAGGTATTACTGGAACAAAATGCTCAGTTCCGCAATCAGGCTAAGGTCATAACCCTGAGCTCCACTGCACCAGCAACTGAGCAGACTCTGGCCCCCACTGTGGGCACTGTCGCTACTTTTAACCATGGCATTGCCCAGACTCACACGACTCTCAGCAGCCAGGCTCTACAGCCTCGTCCCGTGTCCCAGCAAGAACTGGTGGCCCCTGCTGGAGCTCCAGCTGCTCCCCCAACTAACGCTGCACCTCCTGCTGCTCCACCACCCCCACCCCCACACTTGAACCCAGAGATCACACCACTGTCAGCTGCCCTGGCTCAAACAATTGCCCAGGGAATGGCACCCCCACCTGTCTCCATGGCTCCTGTGGCTGTATCTGTGGCTCCTGTGGCCCCTGTGGCTGTATCGATGGCCCAACCCTTGGCAGGAATCACAATGAGCCACACCACCACTCCCATGGTGATTTACCCTATTGCTTCCCAGACCATGCGCATCACAGCCATGCCACACTGATGGGGCTAATGGACACTCCCCTGGTATAGCCTCCCATGGCTGGGGTCGAGGAGCCCTTGCCACTTTCCTAGCCCTCCCCAGCCCTGTCCGAAGGGCTCCCTTGAGAACTAGGACAAGAGACTACAAGGAGTAGTCCTGAGGAGGGGCTGGGTTGGTGTGTTTTCTCTCACCTCCCTTTTATGAGGGTCCTCTTGTCCATCTTCAAGCCTCACAGTGGGGGCTTGCAGAGGAGTGCAGACTGAAGCCAGCAGAGAGGAAGGACTGACTGAGGGCCTGTGTCCTCTTATGGGAATTTGGGAACATCCCTCGTCTTGTCCTCTCTTCTACACAGCACAGTTTCCAGCACTGGTTTTGGAAGAAAAAAAATACCCTGCCCAGAGGGAAAGCCAGGAAAGATAGAGAAGTGGGTGGTCAGGAGAGAAGGCCTGATAGGAGCCTTCAGACAATTTGGGTCCTAGTTGGTTGGGTTGGACAATACAGGAATTGCTTCTGGGCCCTGGGAATGCTGGGACCATAGTGCTCCAGCCCAAAGACTAGGGGAGCATTCATTACCCTAGCTTGGCCTGAAAATCCGTAGGGCAGGGCCCACTACTTTCCAAAGAAATAAAAGAACAATTATTTTTAACAAATGGAGGCAGTGAAAACTTGCTTAGATATTCTGTGTGGAAAATGGGAGCAGTAAATAGATCTCATGCCAAAATGGGATAAAGACCCCAGCCTCACATAGCTTGGGTAAGATGGATAGAGGCCAATGAAGAAGAGTAGGGACCCAGAACAAGACCAAATGGGGCTTTGGGGAAGGGACTTTGTGGAGTAGAAGCTTTGGAGCCACCTAGTCTAGTTTAAAAATAGTCTCATCTGTTTCTGGTCTCCGTATGTGCTATTCCCAGGTTGCCTTAGTAACCAGGGCTCCTAGGGTCATTTAGTGGGGCAGGCAGTAAGGAGGGTGTATGTGCTGAAAAATGGGGATGGGATGTTACATAGTTGAAAGATCCTTATTCAAACAGCAGGACACGTGGAAGTTGCCTCTGAGTTGATGGCAGTTAATGTCCCTCCTATCCCAGCCCTTCCTCAGTGGCCAGTTCCTTAAGCCTTTAAGGCTTGGGAGGTCTGGGAAACAGGAGTCCTTCTAGGGACACAAGCCTCAGGGTTTATCCCTTTCCTGTGTCTCCACATAGGACCAGATGTTTTAAATCTACTTTAAAGTCAGTAAGGCCAGGGGCCCCAACAGCCAAACCTCAGTTCCTTCTCAGCTCACGGCTGATGTAGGGAAAACACCTCAGGTGTCTAGTCTACTGGGACAGTAGATTTGGGGGTGGAGAGTGATCCCGGATTGTGTTCCCCCTCATCGTATCTCCTGCTACCTCTTGCTGTCTTGTCTGGTTGATCACTCAGGTCACATGTGGGATTGGAGATGGTGGGCTAGGTCAAGGGTAGTCATTAAAAAAAAAACCCAATGACTAAAAGTGAGCAAACAATGTGGGTTTTAGAAACAACACATTGATAAGTTTAATGTTTTGGGCACGATTTTTTTTTTCTTAACAGATTTTTAAGTGCACATCTGGCACAACTCTAGA